AGCTATGGGTTGATTTTTTCATTTTAAAATGTCAGATTTTCTATGTGGATCTGGAACAATTAACAACATCCTATGACTTCACACGTGGTCTGAATCTAGTAGGCACTCAAATGTTTGATGAATCAGAATTCACTTAGATCAGGGATTTTCACCTAGTGCTCCATGGGTAGATTTTAGTAATGCAGTAATCCCAAAAATAGTCCCTGAAGTTGTTGGGGATAAGGAAGGTATGTACATTTAGGGGGGAGTGCATGGTTTCTTTCAGATTCTCATAGTTTCTGTGACCTCAAAAAGGATCAGGAACCACTGATTTACATTGTTACATTATGCTAGCTTTGAAAATGTTCATAGAACAGTCTAATCCCGTCTCCATTGGAAATAAAGTCCCAGAGAGAAACTGGCTTCTCCATAGTCACATAGTTGACCAGTAGTCAAGTTCAACCTGCCTCCAGCACTATTTCCATTACATTTTGCAATCCCTGAAAGCACTAGTCAGGGATATAGAGATATTCCCTACCCTCAAATGATTTAAAATCTAAATATACTGATAATCCCAATAATGTCTTAAATCTGTAAAAGCAGATTTCCATTACAAAGCAGCCTGATAGCAGTGTCTTATGTTAATCAACTTGGAGCCTAAAAAATCACCAAAAATTAAGGGTATGCCAACAACTACAGTACTAACTCCTTGCTTCCCCTCAGCGTCAACTCATGAATGTTTCCTGTGCATCTGACCTTTACATTGCAAGGCCTTTTGCTAAGATTGTTTTAAGCACAAGAAAAGCGATTCTTTTTTCAAAGCACCCTCTTGAAAAAAGAGGGTGCTCCACCAGCATGAGCTTGGATTTGGTGCACGACTAAATCGAGGCAATCCATCAACCCTGACAAATCAGTTGAACTGGAGAGTCATGTCTGAGCTACTGTCTTGTTAATTTGGGCTGATTATCTCAATGTTCTTTTCCTTTTCTAATGTTCTTCTACATTTCGGATGAAAATATCAATATTTCTAATTCTGTATCACATCACCTCACCGTGCAGCAAGGCGAGTCTCACACATTACCCTCCAGTTCCACCTGGAGAGCCCCTTATTGCCTTAGCATGGTATTCAGCTTGGTGTTTCTTTCGATAGTAGTTGCTTTGCCTTCAATAAATTGCTTGGATCATTGACCTTTCTTAACCCATGCATTCAACATCACTTCAGAATTTCTCCTCCTTAACTCTGTAATATCTAAATTCTAGCAACACTGTCATTGGTTCCAGGTAAATATCTTGAAAAAAGCATGCCTGTCCTTGCTCCATATCTGTGGTGAGATTTATGCCAATACAAAAACTAACCAGTACACACAAGCCAACAAAGGACAGTAGTGCAACTTGTAGGTGTGAGAAACATCATGAAAAATGTAGCTTAGATGCTAAAATACTGACATTTAATACCTCTCTAACACACAAGTGGAAGAGAAGACTTGGACGTAGGCTGGGTATGTGGCCAGAGCAGAAATCTCTGATTTACCAAACACAGACAGAGGCCACACAGACCTAAAAGACATGCTAGTGTTGGGATACAAGTTCAGTGCTCTGGATCCACGTTCATACCTCTTTCCAGTGCTCCTTCTCATATTTTTTTTAAAATATATTTTATTGATTTTTTACAGAGAGGAAGGGAGAGGGACAGAGAGTTAGAAACATCGATGAGAGAGAAACATCGAACAGCTGCCTCCTGCACACTCCCTACTGGGTATGTGTCCACAACCAAGGTACATGCCCTTGACTGGAATCGAACCTGGGACCCTTGAGTCCGCAGGCCGACGCTCTACCCACTGAGCAAAACCGGGCAGGGACCTTCTCATATATTGATAATATCCAGTTATAGCCACATAGTAATGACCTACTGTTGAATTAAAATACAATCCCAAAGGATAAATTAGAATACTCTTAATATTATGCTCTAAATACAGATTTTTAAAGTGTTCCTGTTAACAAGTATTTATTGATTGATTAACTGAGAAAAAAACCCACTGGTACACGGAATTGTATTTTTGTTTATATATTTATGGGGGCGGGGAGGAAATCTCAGGTGCACAAAATTGGATTAATCATAATTCTTGGTTCTTATTTTTAGGCATTTAACTTAATTTAGATAAAAATCTTAATAAGTTAATATGTACCTGAGAAACCATGATCCAAAATAAAAACTAGGAACCTGACACTAACCTATGTCAGATAAGGTGGTTCCCACTTCACTAGTCCATCCCAAGGTAACTAACAACTTGACTCCAATTTTCATCTCTTTCTTGCTTCCTCCCTTGCATATTTTATTTGTTGTCCTAAAATTATAGGTTTTAAAATTTTCAGTTGTTGTAACATAAAAACGTATATTTTTTGAAGTATATAATCTTTTGGGACTTAGGTCTTTTTAAGTTAATAGTATATTGATAAGAGTCATTCAGATTTTGTGTTTTAATGTTAAGATCAAGAAATTTATATTTTTGTGTTTTGAGTTAAGAATAAACTAATTATGACCACCATATACCAGTTCATTCAGCTAATCTCCTGTGGATGGGCATTCTCTCTCACATTTGGTTTTATCAGGCTTTTTCATTTTACCGATCAAATCTATTTAAGATATATTTTTCCATGGCCCGGACTTATATTTCCTTGATCACCAATGATGTTGAACATATATCTTCATGTATTAGTTACTCATATGTGTTTCCTCTTTCACTTTTCTTTTGGATTGTTTATATTCTTCTTGGTGATTTTTTATCATGTCTTGAATCACCAAGGTATGTTGGAATTACTAATACCATCACCATCATTCATATTAATAATCAGTTATCATGTTTAATGTTCTATTTTGTACATGACATTTTCTGTAGGCTAAAAACAGGATTAGGATTAATTCATCAGATTCTTTTTTTAAAAGTCCATTTAATCATTCCAACGATTATAACAGTTTTTTCCTTTCAGAAATGTGTGGTTTAAAGGTCTAAGACTTTTATTTAAAATGCACACAATAAAAAATCTCCTCACTTTTTCATGTTGTCCCAGGTTGTCATCTGTGATCAATTGCTCACTAAGAATCAGTAAATCTTGAGCAGTTCTCTGTTCTGTTTTCAGTGCCTGACAAGGTCCAAGGAGTCAGTATTAGCAACTCGGCCAGGAGCGACTACTTAAAGGTATCCTGGGTGCATGCCACTGGAGACTTGGATCACTATGAAGTCACCATTAAAAACAAAAACAACTTCATTCAAACGAAAAGCATCCCCAAGTCTGAAAATGAGTGTGTATTTGTTAAGCTAGTTCCTGGACGGTTGTACAGTGTCACTGTTAGTACAAAAAGTGGGCAATATGAAGCCAGCGAACAAGGGAATGGGAGAACAAGTAAGTGGAAAGATTGCAAAATCTGATGGTCGGTTGGGTCTTGAAGGTTACTGAGTAAATATTTATCTGAACCTTGAATTTTCTCTACTTAGTTATCAGTAAATTATATTCCCAGTAAGTCTCACTCAGAACTAACATCGTTTAGCCCAGCCATGGCCTACAATTATAGGATATTTATTGGGAGATAAAAGCAAATATACTTGGCAAGCAAGAAGGCCAAATGCCCCATTTTTCTTCTCTGTCCTCTTGCATTGTGCATTGTGACATTTAAAGTTCTGGACATTTTGTTTTATCTTATGATTGAGATCATAACTCTAATTTTACAATTAGATTCCACCAACATTTAGCATATAAGATTTATATCAGGAAAATAACTACAATTTTAGCAGTTGATTTTCAATTTTTCTTGTTTAATTATGCATGAAGTAATTTAAGTGACTTTTGTGGGGAAGAGAGATGTTTGCCAGTTCCTTTACTGTGATTCATAAATTATTGTGTAGATAAACTTTGATCAGTCACTTTCCTGAAGTGTCTTCTAATACTCCTCCCTAGTCCCAGAGCCTGTTAAGGATCTAACATTGCGGAATAGGAGCACTAACGACCTTCTCGTGACTTGGTCACGAGCTGATGGGGATGTCGACCAGTATGAGATTCAGTTGCTCTTCAATGACATGAAATTACTTCCTTCTTTTCACCTTGGAAATACCGCAACCGAGTATCGCTTCACCTCCCTAATACCCGGGCGCCGGTATAAAATTCTCGTGTTGACGATCAGTGGAGATGTACAGCAGTCAGCCTTCATCGAGGGCTTCACAGGTAATTGGAAATATGGATCTTGAACCTGACCAGTTCACCTGTAGCAGTGTACAGTTGGCCCTTGAACAACATAGGTTTGAACTACGTGGATCCATTTATATTCAGATTTTTTTCAATAAATATGTTGGAATTTTTTTTTATTTTCTTACTACCATGAAGCAGTGATATCTGTTATTCTAGGCTACCATAAAACCATCCTATTTCTGCTTCTTCATTATCAGTGAATGAATCATTACACCTGTAAATAATATTATTTTTTTCACATTATTTTCTCATTTCTGATGTCTATTCTTAGTAGTATGTATAACATTTACAGTGTATCGTGTCACATAAGACAGTATTGATGTAGGTACTGACAAATAGACAATTCATCTTGTAAACAGATGGCATAAACTTACGGTATCGATACATACAGTAGTGCTATAAATGTATTTTATTTTCCTTACAACTTTCTTAATATTTTTCTCTAGCTTACTGTATTATAATAATATAGTATATAATACATATGACATACACAATAAGAGCTAATCAACTGTTTATGTTATTGGTAAGACTTCCAATGAATAATAGGCTACTAGCAGTTAAGTTTTGGGGAAATGAAAAATTATATGCACACTTTCAGCTGCATTAGAAAGAGGAAGTGTCAGTGCCCCTAACCCCTACCTTGTTCAAGGGTCAACTGTACTGGTAAGTGTAAATATCTCTGTTGCTTGGGTATCACTTCTTTGGAACTTTAATAGTAGTGTTGCTATAATAGTTAATGTTTATTAACAGTTTTCCATACACCAGACCCACAGCAAAACACTTTACACATACATTCTGTTTAATCCTCAAAACTTTATGGGATGGTTGCTATTATTATCATTACCATTTTTCTGATGAGGAAACAAGCTTACAGAGGTTAAGCAATTTGCCGGTGGTCCCACAGCTGGTGAATAGGAAAGCCAAGACTCAGACCAAGGCAGTCTAGCCCCTTGCTCTATGACTGGCACCATTCACTTCTCCTCACTGGCTGAGATGCCACTCTAAACTTCCCTCATTAACTTCAGTTCAGGCAGAAGAGTCAGAGAAAGTTGATAAATTGATACCAGTTTTTTCTATGTGTATCCTTTCAGTAGATGCCAAAACATAAGAAGGACAAAAACTTTGGTTGAAATTCCCACAGTTCATTCTCTAAGTGATGACTTTTGAATTTATTTTCTTTTTCAGTTCCTAGCACTGTTAAAAATATTCACGTCTCTCCCAACGGGGCGACAGATAGCCTGACAGTGAACTGGACTCCTGGTGAGGGCGATGTTGATTCCTACACCGTGTCCGCATTTAGGCAGAACCAAAAGGTTGAATCTCAGACTATCCCCAAGCACATCTCCGAGCACACGTTCCACAGACTGGAGGCTGGGGAGCAGTACCAGATTGTGGTTGCCTCGGTCAGCGGGTCCCTGAGGAACCAGATAGATGCGCTCGGCCGGACAGGTAAGCATCCACCTGGAGAAGGGCCAAGTTGGTCTCCATAATGGGACAATAGATGTGCCTACTCACAAATCAAAAATACCCAAATTTAAAACCACCTAAATTTGTACAATTCAATATGGTTTTAAGACCATTTCTCATATTTCTTTGCATTTTTCTTTCTTAATGGAGATTTTCAAAACAAATGAAAGGTAATTAGGAACCAAATCATTTGAATAAATTTTTTAACTTGTTAAAGACTTTAAAATTTTAACAAGCAGACTTCTATAATTATGCATTTTTCAAAATATTATCACTTTCTCAAAATTCTTTTTTAAGAAAATAAATGTTCCTATGCCATTTACTTCACTTGTGATAGCTAAAGAACAAGTAATAAATCAATGAATAATGTATATGTTTACTTATATTACTATCACTATTAATATATTACTTTCAGAACAAAAATCATCTGCAAACACCTGCTACATGCCAGACATCTATACTAATAAAAGGGTAATATGCTAATTAGTGTGGATGTCTTCCAGGCATCCATCCAGACAAAGACACAGCAGCTGCGAGGCCCAGGGCTCAGGCATCCAAGGGCTCACGGTAGCCATGGCTCAGGCAGCTGTGGGCTCAGGCAACCATGAGCCCCAGCGGCTGCAAGGCCCGGGGTTCAGGCCTTGCAACCACCGCAGCCAGCAGTGGCAGCAGCAGTGGGGTGATGGGAGCGGCACCTTCCCCTGATCAGCCCGGTTGCCTCCTGCAGAGCGAGGCCAGACTGTGGCTGTAGTAGGACATCCCCTGAGGGCTCCCAGACTGTGAGAGGGGCCAGGCCAGGCTGAGGGACCCCCCCCCCCCCCCCG